ATGGTTGCATAATTTTGTGGAAAGCACTAAATTATACATGTTAAAAAGGTAAATTATTCCAATCTTCTGGATTTTTCATCTTTAAATCCAAAGTTTAACAACTATCACAAAAGCAATATGCCAGTTTACCAGTATTGAGGGAGGATCTCAGAACATAGAAATTCTTTTGCTGAAACATGGAAAGTCCCAGGAGAACTGGAACAAGTTTATCTATATATGATCTTTCATAATTTATTTCCTCTGTTCATTGTTTAAGTGCTGGTAATACCCTCTATCCTGCCTTTTACATTCTTTCCTTCTAACTCCACACCCTCTTCCTACACTATTTCATTCATCTTAATGATTGTTATTATAAAAAATTGCTCTCAAACAGGCCTATCTCATCTGAGTCTACTGAGTTTGAGATATGGGCAGTCATGGTCTTCTGGATCATTTAATTGGAGATCTCTTTGGTCAATGATGTACAAGTTGAATAGTAAATCTAAACTTACTTTAGGGTCTAATTCGCTTCTTGATTTTATCACATCTACTTAATCTCTTGTGCAAAAGTGAGATATCTACTGTCTTTGCTATATTATCATATCTAACAAATCACTGAACTCTTAATTATATTGTATATAAAATTTTCTCAAATTTGCCTTAACTCCCTCCCTCTTCTACTTATTCCCTTGACCATCAATAATTGAGAGTGGTTAATAGACGAGATTTTTACATCGTTTTACACCTTTCACAGACTTTTACATATATGATTGCACAAAAATTTCACATTGTATCAAATTCCAAAATACAGTATTCAACATAAAACCAAGGACTAGGCAAAATGTGTTGCTTCATTTTTCCAAATTAGACAAGTGAATTTTAAGAAATTCTGATGTACCACTTCCTGCCTCCTTTTCCACAGTACACCCACACACACATATAAACACCTACCCACCAATACAACCACACACACACATGCACATCCATTTTCTCTCTCTTCATCTCCCCAACCCTCCCTCTCTTTTTCATTTTCCAGAATGAGTGCAAGCTTTAAATAACCCCACCATAAACTAATGTTCTGAACTTCAGGGCAACTATTGTCTTCTATAAGACTACTCCTAACTTGCCTACCTATTGAACCAGTCATCTTTCAAATACACATTAACTACTACATGCTCTATAAACCATTCCCTCAACACGTAAGCCCCAGACAGAATACATCATCTTTTTCTTTTTAAACATACTGTAGTGTTGCACTTATCATGTAGCATTATAGCTTTTTCAATTACCTAACTACAGACCCTAACTTGAGAGGGAATACTCAGACAAGAATTCAAACTCATTTATCTACATATCTTATACTGAGGAATAACAGGAATAAGATTTAGTTTGTCAAGCTCACTAATATTTTGATAGGTTTATTTCTTTGATTCAGTGATGACAACTTTTGCAGCATGCTTAAAATATGATTGAGTGACATTTTAATAATAACTGAAAGGGAATCTTTGGATAGTTTATATATACAATTATCAAAAAATATAACGCATATTGACACATGATCTAGACTTGCAAAATAGAATGCACCAAGCAATAGAAGTACAGTCACCCTACTTCCTGTCTCTCTGTCTCTCTTTCCCTAATTTATCAAGCATTTTGAAAATGTGATATATAAACACCCACCCCACTTTTCCTCTTCAAAATCTATAGAAATAGAGTATTTCCACTAATATATTAAATTGCGATAGCAAGTGCCACCAATCACCTCTACATTGCCAAATCCAAAGGACTTTTTATCCTTTAAATTATATATTGATTTTCTTTTTTATTAATTTATTTTTTAATGAATTACCTTTTTCTTATGTCCTTGTTAATTATATATTGATTTTTCTATTCCATTTGATACTGCTGAGTATTCCTCTTGAATCCCTTTATTATTTTGGCCTCTGGTTCTTCTGCACTATTTTGGGCCTAAATCTTTGAGTAAAACTCAAGTACCACAAAATCTTTATAATGAAATTTGAATTCTTCACAGTCTACCTATCACTAGACCTGTTTTGCTCATTTAATTCTTTCCGCTTCTCAGTTGATGGTCCTTAATCATCCAAGCCACTAATATGATGGTTTCCCTAAACTCTATCCTTACAAACCATATTAAACTAAAAACTAAGCACTACCCATATCATTTCTTATTTAGCTGTTGAAATATTTCCTTCCTACACATTTTATTATCCCAACAGGTCAAGACCTTATCATTCCTCCCTGGGCTACTGCAATACTCTCTTCATTGATTTGCTTGTCTTTACTTTTTCCCATATCACATTCACTCCATTTCTGCCAATTAAAGTCTCTTAGTGTACTCCTTTTACTTTTTTAAAACTTCTCAGAATCATTGAAGACAGTTTTGTTGATACCATCAGTGCATCCTTACAACTAAATGTAGTAATTATTAAAGTTTTTATTTTGATCCACATATGAAAGAGTAAAATGTAATAGAGTTACATATATAGTTATATAGATAAACAAATTACTGAAAAATTAATAAAACATATCTTTTTTATTTTGATCCAGTTATCATATAGGAACCTAAGTTCATCCAACAATACTAAGCTGGGATACATTCTTCCATTTTTTATTTTCTTCTATTCCATTCAAAGTCAACAACAACAAAAACAGATGACTGGATCAAGAAGATGTGGTACATATATACCATGGAATATTACTCAGCATTCAAAAAAGATAAACACATGCAATTTGCAGCAACATGGATGGCGCTGGAAGGGATCATGCTCAGCGAAATAAGCCAAAAAGAAAAAGAAAAATACCGGATGGTCTCACTCATAGCAGGAATCTAGAAAACTTAAATAAGGGACCAGGAAAATGAATAACTATAAGAAAGTGAAAATCAAAATCAACAAAAAAACTATGAACCAGAGACACTTTTTTTGGGGGGGAGGGGAGCGATTGGGGTCAGAATGGGGGGGTTGCAATTGTATGGGGAATATAAAAATAAAATTTATTATTTAAAAAAAAAACAAAATCAACAACAACAACAAAAAACAACCCTTTATAGATTTTTAGACCCAGTGATAGAGTGTGACTTACAAATTTAAAAACACTGACTTAAAGGTTAAATCCTTCATAACTACCACCAATTTATTGTTGTCCTTTTCATCTCAACCTAGAAAGACATTTATGTAGCTATGGAGCACTCAATCAACAAACACCACTCTCTATTAAGAATCAGTAAAAATAAATAATGAATTACAAATTTGAAATTCTTGAAGACACCTAGAGAAAGATTTGCTATTTTAATTTTCATGTACAGGCTGACCAAAGAGTTTTTGGAAAGGAGGACCCAAAGAACCCACAATTGCTTATTCGTAGCCACTATACTCAAAGAGGGGTACCCGGGAAAGATCCACATATTCCTACAACTTTAAGTCAACAGGAAGTAAAAACAAACTAAGAAAAAATGATCTAAATCCTTACTGAGAAGGATGACAATGGCTTCTTCATATCTGATAATTCCAAATGAAAATGGACACTTTAATGAGTGGTGCCAATTAAAATGGAAACTAGATTTGGAAACTCAATGGAATATAACATTTTCAAATCAATATTAATTCCTCAAATAACTTTTCCAGAAATTTCTTGCATCTTAATATAAGTGTTTTCTAATCCTAGAACATAAGACGGGAAGTAGGGACATAGGCTTTCTATGAATTATCAAGAAAAGTTCCATCACAGGAACATGGCTTTACAGTAAGAGCATTTACACAAAACCAAAAAAAGAAAAAGATGGCAATATAATTAAGAATATTTCCTTCAAGTTTTTACTTTTTAAATGTACTTATAAGTCATTCTTACCACAGTTAAAATAAAATTATTTTTATTCCCGCTAAAAATAGCGACTAAATGTAGAATGTGGTAGTCAGGAATATGTATATTGAATTAAATCTACAGCTCACCTATGGAGATTTTTGAGATTTACCAAAATTTTGTATCCTAAAATACAAATAATTTTGTCACATCGCTATTTGTAATATACAAAATACAAGTGCTTTAAAATACAAAATACAAGTGTAATATACAAAATACAACAACAAAAAAATTTCAGTCTTTGCCAGTGTTAAAATATCATAGAAAGAGTTAAAAATTTTTACTTTTATTCTTATAGAATTTTTATAATTTTCACTTTATTTTGGTTTTATTTCAAAGAATTCTCAGATAGCTAAATAAAACTATGGAAAATCATTCTTAGGGCACATTTCTACAAAGACTTCTGTTAAGAACCTTGGATGAAGGTATTTCTGCAACTAGTTAACTACTTGGCTGTAATAGTTATGCTGAGTATTGTTGCAACTGAGACATTTTAAGGAAATGTTTAATTTTTCTTAGCAGGAGCATAATCTATTCAGAGGACTGAATATATCCTGCTACTCTGCAAAATTTTAAAACTCTTCACATTTTTATCTCATCAAAATTCATATTTGAAAGTCAGAATTTACTTATTTAGTTTCTTCTCTACCTCCTGCTTCCTTTTTTTGTAGGTCATTTAACTCTTTGCTAGGATCTACGCTTAAGGTTACAATAGCAAAATGAAGTAGTTACCTTTAAATAACATAGCATTAGTGAATAATGGACTACCTTTGCATTTCCCTTAAATTCAACCCTTATTCAACTGCATACCACCTCCCTATTTCCCCCAAATCTTAGGTGCTAGCCCACATACATTCTAGATTCATAAGAGACAGAGTTGTTGCTACTCTAGATCCTTTAGAATATGTCCCATTTTCTCTAATTAGTTTTCTATTTCCAATATGGCATTAGAAATATCACTTTAAAAAGATACTTAATACAAAACCATGTGTCCAGATAATATTTTCTAATGCAATAGTAGTCTTTTTATTACACATACACCAGAGTATCTACTTCCACATGCAATGGGAATAATAAACTTGTAACCATTGATGTGTATAAGAGACGACATTTTCAGTCAATAAAACCAATGCCATACTCACGGTGAAGGTTGGTGGGGCTGGCTTTCAGCATTTCTTGGTGTTTTGCAGGCAGCAGGCTTCGCCATGTCCCTGACAACACACCTGGGGCGCATGATAGACAGCACAACGCACTATTAATTATAAAAAGGGTAGAACACATCTGGAAATTAAACATGGTACTGAAAACAGTCTAAGGGAATGTCTTTAAAGCCCCTTCAATATTAACTTTGAGGTCATGGAAAAGCCCTCAGAGTTGAAAATCTTGGACTCAGGCTTCCAAGAGCTCACTTACACCCAGATAAAAATCTGTGCTAGCCTCTGTATTTGATTTTACTCTTAGTACCAATAAAATGATTATCAGCAGTTTTCTTTCCCCACAGAAGAAATGCTACTGAAAGCTTTGGCCTCATCATATGAAGACATCTGAAAAATTAGAAATAAGAACAGCTGTTGCGTTGATTATGTTAAAAGATAGGCAGGATTTTCTATGGCTTTATCTATTTTTAATAAATTTTATTGTTATATCTACAGTGCAGCCTTTATCTATTTTACTGAAAGATTTAGACACTTATTCCATGCCATTCATCACCACACAGGTCTTTTCTGTAAGAGGCCTCAAGATTTCCCCTTGTTCAAATTCCCCTTCAAAATAAGAAAAGAGGAAGAGTTAGAAGGAAATGCTTATATATATATATATATATATATATATATACATATATATATGTATATATATATATATATATATATATATATATATATATAAAGTATGTCTGTATGTCTAAGATGTGAAAAAAAATAGTAAAAGTTTTTTGTGCCTTAAATTCTCCATCATAGAATAAATAAAGGCAGAGTGGATAATATAAGTAGCTCCAAAGGGCAGCAGGTGGAGTTACTCTTATCCTCAAGTCACAGGGCTTATAGAATGATGGAAAGATTTGTTGGCAAAACTTAGAAAATATCCCCATCTGAGGCTATACTTATATGACTCAGATATTCCTTCATTTCAAATGCTTTAAAACACTACTCTCAATAGGGAAGTTTTGTTACAAATCTGAGACCCCTATATTTGATAAATGGAAATGTCCCTTAAGACCCAGAATTCTCAAATACAAATCTGGTTCTGAACCTTCATGGAAACTTCTTGGAGGTATGACTATAGTGCTAATACTTAAGGCCAGTCATGTTATTCCAGAAGTGGATCATGGAGAAGCAGTAGTAAACTGTCTTCCCAGAGTTAAAGGCTGCATGGCAAAATTCTCCACTTCTGAAAGAAATGATACAGGAAAACGTGGACACAACGCACAGAAACGTGCACACACACACACATACACACACACACTGCTCATTCCAAGCAAGGTCAACTAAGACTGAGAAATCAATATGTAATGTGACGAGAAAAGAAAACGGTGCTGTTTCAAGGCCTCAACACACTTCCCTCCTGGAATAAAGGTAATGAAATGTGGTATTTGTCAAAATTTTATGCTAAGCCCTTAATGGAATGGTCAAGATACATGAATTAAAAACATCCACTGGAACCACCAACCCTTCTGTTCAGGCATTGGGATTAAGTGGACCCTCAAGAAGGTAACAGTTAGGGAGAAGTAATACACTAGATTTCTCAACTCTGAAATTTTAATCTAACTTATGCAAGGTACAATGCCCAGGAAGTTGAATTCCATAGCACTGGAGAATCCTTAGCAATTCTCATTCCACTGAAAATAGCACATGCAGAATATTTATTCTACATGTGCTGGTTTGTGAAAATATCAGAAATATCACCAACTTTGGAAAAATGTTTGAAGAATTATATCTACGAGAAACCATATGTAACCTTCTGCTTCAGTTAATTTCCGTTTTAAAGTTTCAGGTATCTGTACAGAGTTTTGAAATAAAACAAATCTGCCACTAAGAGTTTTCCTGAAATGTTTTGAGCTGATACTTTTCTAATAAGGATAGATGATCACACAGCACTAAGGGGATGTCTCTAAACAAAATATTTTTTTCTTCTGAGTGAAAACCACATGTTTGTAAGAAAACTCTGATGTAATCTCAAGTACCCAGTGGTTTGCGCTTAAAATTTCAATAGTTGGAATTTTGCACATGTTATAGAATTGTTCAAATAAAACTCTGAATTTCTGAACTTGAAGTTTTATGGGATAATGAAAATACATTAATAATCAAAAATACCATTTAGAGTCTATGTATATTTAATTAACTTAAAATATACTTGATTACTCTAGTTATTTAAAAATACAGGAAAACATTTTTCATATTGTATATTCTGACCAACAATAAGTACCTATTGAATCTGGGCTTTGAGAGGAAAAATCTATTGGTTCAGACTGCTAACTATGCAACCAATTTCAGGGGGATCTACGCTATGGTGATATCTATTCCTGCATTTCCTAATTTGACTTCTTTTTAGCTGAAATTTCTTTTAGATATAAGAAAAACTTAGTTCAGGTACATAAAAATATATAAGATTTTTGGTTTGTGTGGAATAACATTTCTTTAAAATTACAATTGAAAATTTGTGTCTGCCATATCTTCCCAGTTCGGAGAGATAAACCTTAATAACTTTTGACAGTTCTAATGTGTGGAAAGGGGAAAGTGGCACTTTCTACCATCTTCCACACATTAAAATTATTGTAGTATATGACTTTAATCCTTTAATAAACACAGCAATGATATGTCAGCATGCTGTGACTCTTCAGGGTGTTTCTCTATACATGGAGTAGTCCTTCAGCCAGACATAGGGAAACCACAATTGCTGCCACAATACCGACTTCCCAGAATTACTATGGACTGCGAAGCTAGGAGTTTCAAGGAGCTTGACCTTCTATTCTTTGCAAGATCTTAAATTACTCTAGGATTTATCAGACATGAACTCTTAATAGCCTGCAAGCTGCAAGTGAGCAATCCCTCATCACTCAAGCAACTCTGAAGATTTATGCAAATAAGACATTCTGCAACCACCTCAGGGGAAAGCTCCTCCTGACTCCGCCCTCCGCGCTGCTGGGTTTTATGAATGACTGCAATCAATGCGATGAATGGCTGCCAACTGCCCACTCAGCCTCTTCTCTTCCGCGCACGTACACACGGGAGAAACTCGAATTGCCACAAGCCTGCCGATGAGGCTGGTAAGGCTTTCATCTCCCCAAACAGGAACTAAATATGCTTCCAGATACTTAGAGTATGTGAATTAAAAATTATAAAAGCCTTCAAAAAACAATTTACATAATTACTTTCTCTCTTTTGAGTTTTCATTTTGGTGACTACATCACTAGCCCTCCTGCCCTCACCCCACCCCCCCACCTGCAGGGGAAAAAAAAAAAACACCATTTGTGAAACTTGATCAATTTGCATTTTATCTAAATTGCTTTATCTTTTATAACTAATTCCAGGAAACTAGTTACTGTGCACTAAAGCTGCCATATATATTATAACACCCTTAAATTTTTTACTCAATCTTAAGGTTTTTGAATTTGACTGAGGATTCTCCTATTGTAGAGACAACTTACATCCAAACAGTGCTGGGGAAAGTATATGTGTGCTTACTTCCCCAGTGTTACTGTACTAATCTGCTATTGTCATAAGAGAAATTAAAGGCAGTTAAAATAACATAAGTTTAAGAAAATAAAATATTTTTCAAAAGCACAGTCTTCTGATTTGCTGATCACTGATTAAAAATACACATAAGCAAGGGAAAATAGACAAGAATAAATTTCAAGGGTTCAGTAGCTAGACATTTTCTTCTAATCTTTGTTTAGTGTTTCCAGGCCCTCATACACAAATTATTAGTCAAAAGTACCTAAATAAATGCAAAATTCCTGCCCCCATAGTGATCCCCTCTTTATCCAGACAGCAAAATGCGCCCTCAACATCTTCATGGATTTCTAACGGACCTCTAAAAAATTACAATTTCCAAAAACAGAATTCTTCATCTTTTTTCTCTCAAACCTGATCCTCAGCAGCCACTTTCAATTTAGCAGATTTTAAACAATTCTCTAGCTATTTGTGACAAAGCCTTCTTTTCCTCATACCTTGTTTCCAATTCACCAGTTTGTTTCTATTTTTAAAATACATGCAAAACCTGACCATCTCTCACCTCCTGCACTAATTGCCATACTGTCCAGGTCAAAATAATCTTTTACTTAGATTCCCACAATAGATTTCCAACCAGGCATGTACCCTTGCCCTCCTCCTTTAGTCTGTTCTCAACACAACAGCAAGATTGACTCTTGGGAAAGAAAATTACATCATGACTCTTTTCCCCAAAGCCCTGCAAAGATTCCCCACTTTACACACAACAAAATGCTGGAGGTCCTTGGAATACAATCTGGCTTCCCATACCTCTGAGTTCATCCCCTGCTACTCTCTCCCCTTTACCTAACTAACTCTTTCCCAGCCACAGTGGCCTCGGTGCTGGTCTTTCTCAAACACACCAGGCATTATCTTGCCTTGGGACCTTTGTACCAACCTTTCCTTCTATCTGAAATGTTCTTGATGCTGGTATGAACAATCCCTTCACCTCCTTTTAGTCTTTGCTCCTACTCTGATTATTCTATTTATGATGCCTACTTTGATCATTCTATTTGCTGCTACAAATGCTTTCCCCCATCACATCTACATACTTCTAAGCCCCTCTGTCTTTCTATACTACTAAAATTGACTGACTCCCACTACTGAACTATGAGCTGTCCAAGAAAAGATATTTGTCTATTTGGTCCACTGACATATGCTAAGAGTCAAAACCAGTGCTTGACACAAGAGTTAATGAATATATATCTGCTAAATGAATGAACAGGCGAAAATTTTGTAGACTTCAATCTTGCATAACTAATCTAAACATTAAAACAATGACTTAGTGTAGAACCTAGATAATACTTTTTTCAGCATATTTCTATAAAATATGACTTGAATAAACTCTAGTGAATTTGTTTTTATGTTTTGACTGGCATTCATTGTCTTGTTGAACAAGAAAATAGGTATATCTTAGCAAATGACTTACTTAGTTAATAAAAACTCTTTTTTAATGGCAAACCATTGCTTTAAACAGTGAGATAATATTTAACATCTGGTGTACTGATTTTTCAATCAAA